GTGCGTGCGTGCGCGCTCGTCTGTGCGTGCGTGCGTGCGCGCTCGTCTGTGCGTACGTGCGTGCTCGTCTGTGCGTGCGTGCGCGCTCGTCTGTGCGTGCGTGCGCGCTCGTCTGTGCGTACGTGCGCGATCGTCTGTGCGTGCGTGCGCGCTCGTCTGTGCGTGCGTGCGTTCATATATTCAGTGTGATTGGTGGTGGGCTGATGTGACCGTAGATGGCGCTATACCCGCTTTGTAGCGATGGCGTTTAAAATAAATAGGTTATGCTGCGTTCCGACATGTTTTGTAAAACTTTACTCTAATATAGACGTTTTATCGGCAGGGTGGAGAGGAAATACCAATTTTGCATTAAAGATATTGTCAATGAAATCTTGTGAAACGAACCAGACGAGTGTGACACCACAGACTGTTATCTGCGTATCTATAACATAATATGCTACATAATTGCAAAAAACCTACCTAATTTGCATATTTTTTTTTTAAATATCAAAACACCTAGCCCTTATTCATTCACATACCAAAAATGAGCAAAATCTGTTGTACCTGAACTGACTAATGGTAATTCCCATTTTTGCCAAAAAATTGCCGTGGCTCGAAGGTACGTCGACTGGCGTGCTCCAAAATAGGACGTTCAATATGGGAGCATAGCAGTAACAACTATACCCAATTTCAAACATGTGGGTCAAACGGTTCCTGAGTTATCGTTGACCGTAGCCAAATGTTGACGGAAGGACGGACGGACGACGGACGACGACCCATGGCAATAGCTCATCTTGACGATGTCAAGGTGAGCTAAAAATATGTAAATATTATATGAATAAATGTTAACTAAAATAAATTTTAATGAAAAATATGAACAAATAATAAAACGAAATAAAAAATAGGCGAATAATAACGAAAATACTACATGTGAATAAAAATATATGGAGGATGAGAAGATGCGTTTTCGAGACACGTCGTTTGTTACTGAGCAATAAAAATATGTAAATATGAACATATATTTATGGAAGGTGAAAACAGGAATTAGGGTAAAGATATTTGGGTGAATACACCGCAAATTTTTTTAAACTTAGTGTAATAAAACATGAATGAAAACTTTTTTACTCATCAGTAGGACGAGGCATTTTGGATGAGAAAAGATAAGTAACATTTACTGAGCTACGTTTGTCTACGATTTGCCATAAGCAACTCATTCAGAGACAACCTGAGAGAGAAAGAGAAAGAAAGAGACAGAGAGAGAGAGAGAGAGAGAGAGAGAGAGAGAAAAAGAGCGAAAGATCGTGGCTCAAAAGGTTTTCCATGAAGACTGCTATAACAGGGTTCTACCATTTGTTTTCACCACTTGCCCTGCGGGGAAGTGCTGACAAAATTGACTTGCCTGATTAAAAATGGCACTTGCCCGATGACAATGTGTATTACCTTACGTTCACTCAATTTATCTGCTTATTTTAAAGTTGTATATACGTTTAAAGAACATGTATCACTCTTCACACACAATGTATCATACTCGCACTCATTGCTACGTTAATACTCACACTGCTACGTACATTTATTTATCTACGATCGCGACACAAACATATGCACACGGGCACTCGGGCAAGCAGGTTTTGTCGAACGCTTCTATAATCATGTGTTTATGAACATAATATATAAAAGTCAATTTAATCAAAAAAGCTAAATAGTATGTAGTCTGTGGAAGTATCTACAAAATAAATCATAACTAGATCAAAATAAGAATAGATTCAAATGCAACAAATCTGCCTACATCTATAGTCGGCTTTTGCGACTTACCACTCTTCACATATTCCTCATTCTGGTTGTCTTCAAATTTTTTAAAGTACAGCAAAACGTCTTTATAACTCCATCCCCGTGCGCCCATCTTTTCCCACAGATCAAAGTCTCCCTTGTTGCCTCGTACATACTGCATAACGTTTAGACCACCTGACCCTCCAAGCATTCGTCCTCTTGGCCACAGGCTTCTCTGTAATATATCAAACCATGAGTATAGTTACTTTTCCACCCAATTACCCTTCACTTCATACTTTTAGTATTTTTACCCAGTGCTGAATCCTTGATTGACAGCCAATCATGAATCGATAAGTCGTGGATCACACGTACGCGCATCCAAGTAGCTGACTGAACGTTTGTTAAATTTTCTGCGCACCTTCTCATTAAGACCTCGACATGATTTCTTCTGTGGCACAGTCCTGAAGTTCCAGTCATGTTTCGTGTTTCTCAGCAGCATATGCATGGCAGGTTTTGCAGCGTTCCTCTTTGCAGACGGGTCGCCTCCTGCCTCCAGTAGAAGCACCTTGTTGCTGCTGACGTCAGAGAGGCGAGCAGCCAATACGCAGCCTGCACTACCCGCTCCCACTGCGGCAGCAAACAGTTAAGTATAGATGGAAGGGATGGATGGATGGATGGATGGATGGATGGATGGATCCATGGATTGTTGGATGAATGGAGGAATGGATGGATGGACGGACGGACGAACGAACGGACAGACGGACGGACGGTTGGATGGATGGATGGATGGATGGAGGGATGGCTCGATGGTTGGATGGATGGATGGAGAGAGGGATGGATGGCTGGATCGATGGATGAATGAATAGATGGACAGATGGATGAATGAATGGATGGATGGATGGATGGATGGGTGGATGGGTGGATGGATGGACGGATGGATGGATGAATGAATGAATGGATGGATGGATGGATGGATAGATGGGTGGATGGATGGATGGATGGGATGGACGGGTGGATGAATGAATGGATGGATAGATGGATTGATGGATGGATGGATGGATGGACGAATGAATGGGATGGATGCATGGATGGATGCATGGATGGATGCATGGATGGATGCATGCATGCATGGATAGATACGCAAACAGAAAGACGTCCAAACCTTTACGTTCAAAGCTGTGATAGATCTGCTAACGACCATCCGTAACAAGTTCTAATAATAGCATTTACGTACCTATGACGTAATCGTATCGTT